ATATTGATTAAGTATCTAAAAAGTAAAGCTTTTAAGCTCAAAACGATGACACTATCTCAAAATAGTGATTAAATATCTATAAATAATCCCTTTTAAGATCAAAATAATGACTGAGTATTGTTTAAATTGTGATTTGGTTTATTTTTTAAATAAGATTTTAAGCTCAAAATGATGACAGTATCTCAAAAAGGAGACTTATATAATATAAAATAATCACTTTTTATCTCAAATGAATGACTGAGTTTCAAAAAGACTTAGTAACTAGAGATAATGATTAAGAATCTAAAAATTAAAGATATTATCTGAAAATAATAACTAAATATCTAAAAATATTAACTTTTAAGCTCAGAATAATGACAGTATCTCAAAATAATAACTAAGTATGTCCAAAATGTGACACGGTGTCAAATAATGATGACTTGGTATCCCAAAAAAGAGATTTATTAGCAAAAATCAATAACGAAATATCTATAAATAATCACTTTTAAGATCGAAGTAATGACTGAGTTTAAAAAACAATGACTAAGTATTGTTTAAATTGTGATTACTGTAAGTATTTAAATATTAAAGCTTTTAGCCCAAAATGATGACAGTATCTCAAAAAAATAACTAAGTGTCACAAAATAATGAATTAGTATCCCAAAAAAGACCTACTAGCACAAAATAATGACTAAATATCTCAAAATAATAACTGTTAAGCTCAAAATAATAACTTTTAAGCTCAAAATAATAACTTTTAAGCTCAAAATAATAACTTTTAAGCTCAAAATAATAACTAAATATCTCAAAATAATGACTAAATATCTCAAAATAATGACTAAATATCTCAAAATAATGACTAAATATCTCAAAATAATAACTGTTAAACTCAAAATAATAACTTTTAAGCTCAAAATAATAACTTTTAAACTCAAAATAATAACTACATGTCTCAAAATAATGACTAAATATCTCAAAATAATGATTGAGTAACTAAAAATAATTTTGAACAGCCAATCGACTCCAACACGTTTACTCCTTCAAGACCCCGTTGTGCACCTGTGTGGTGTTCAGGGTCGTGTGGTGTTCAGGGTCTCTCAGGACATCAGAGCTTCAGAGGAAACACGCCTGCAGACTCCATCTGTCCACTGCACTTTATAACAAAACTAAAAATAAATATAACCTCACATCTCGTCCACGGAGGTGTCGGAGTCCTGCTGAACCGCAGAGGCAGGAAGGACTCGTGTTTATCCAATATTATAAATATCATATATTAATAATCATAATAATAATTCATTCTGTTTATGAGGCACCTTTCAAAGCACCCAAGGACACCTTACAATTCATAACATATTCTAAGGAAAGGTTTAAGACAGTACAAAAGGATGTCATTGTATTACAGGGCTGCAGGAGATATGGTTTCTGCAGCAACGTTTTGGAAATATGAATTTGCAAATGAACTCAAACACGACTTATTTGCTGCTTGATTCAAATCAAAACATTTTGCACAACAAATCTGCAGGAGAAGTATGTTTCATATAATCCTAATTTGCTCTGTTTTAAGGCTTCTTGGTTTCCTATTACATGCAAACCCACAATTTGAAACTATGAAGCCAATTTCTGCAAAGACAAGCCAGAGAAAGAGCACAAAACATTAGCCAAAAATCAAATGCTAATTGTATGAAAATTGGACCATTATTTGTTTCCTAATCCTGCTAACAAACAAGCTAATAATGCTAGCTCATAATGCCGTATGACTTCTGGAAACCAAAAACACAAAGAAACAAAACAACATGACCTTCTTGTCTTAGCCAATAAGAATCAAGCGTTGGGGTTGTTATTGTTTGTTGTTAGCTTTGGATGCTAAAGGTTTGTTGACGTCTTATAGTTCAACATCACCAAGGACTTAATGACCGTTTGTCACTTCTGTTTTAGTAGAAAAAGCCAAATATTGGGAATCTGATGAACTTCCATTTCTTTAACTGTTTCCTTTCTTTTTTAATTCTTAGCCATTTTGACTTCCTTGCATATGTTGACTTTTGTTTGTATTTGCTATTTCTGGGGGCGGATTTAGTTGATTAATGTGAGAAATAAGAAATATGAGCTATTGAAATGTGTTCCTTTTTATAATTGTGACTTAAATTTGACAAACCGTGTTATAAATTTGACTTTTTCTATCATTATCTCGATTTATGCATATGTATGGTGTGTTTTGAATGAACCTATTGTGTATTTATTTCTTTACCTGTTGGAAATGGAATCATTAGAGACACACACACACACACACACACTGCTCTGTAATGGCACGCAGCCCATAATAATCTGCTTTGAATTATTTCCATCTCGTCCATCCAGTCGAACACAAACTCTGATTGTCATCCTGAGAAACACGAACAATGCTGAGGTCAAAAGGGGAGTTTACTATATATGAAATAAACCAAACGCACCATATGGAGGATTAATGTTTACCGTGAGGACTAACTCATCCATAAAGACGTCCTGTAGAAATGAACCAGAGATCTGTCCATAGTTACTGCGTGTATCAGGGACGATGTTCAGGTTGCCATGACCTCCACAAATAAAGACTTTTAATCAGACGTGTATTGTTTTAGCAGATATATTGACAACATGTGACTTCATTTCTGAACGGAGGCCATCAGAGGACGGGCCTTTGGTTAAGGTCAAAGACATAGACTTTGGTAATAGAAAGTTCTTCAATGTTCAAACACCTAAAGCTACCAAAAGGAGTTATGAAATACAATACTGATGCCTCTGTATGATCGACAGAAGCAAACAAGACCATCAGCAAGAAGATCAGAAATAAATGCCAACTCATCACAAGCTAAAAAAAGGTTGACAAATACCGAAACCCAAAATAAACGTGCTGCTCTTTACACGTGTTTATATATTGATTTGACAAAAACTACAACTTGAAAAAGCTGTCACGATGTCATTTAAATTGACATGGTCTCTTCTCAAGCGACACATTACTGTTAACGTAGCTCAATATTAGCGTACACTGTTGTCACATAAACTAGCCTTTGTGTTACAAAGCAAATCAGAAAGCAAATCGCTGAATGACATTGCGATAATGGCATCATTAGCCTAGCTTAGGATATTTTACTATAAGTAAAAAGCCCTCTTCACTCTCGCCTTCAACTCCTAATCCACTAACCTCCTCTTCCACCTAGCTTAGCACTTATCTTCTTTACTGTCTCGTGAAGCGCTTTGAGCCCCAGGAAAAGCGCTTAATACACAACATGTATGTATCATTATTATGAAGAAAACGGGGCTAACGTTAAGTAAGTTAGTCGGTAGTTGAGTAGCTTAATCCTCGGCAAATTGGAAATATTAGTAACTTTAAGTAACAAGGTATCCCGGAGCGTTAATACCAGTAAGTGTCATTTGAAATAAGATGTAAGTTAGCTAACGTTAGACTTTCTGTTAATGACTATACCACAAAGTGAGGCCTGTTGCTAGCTGCCATGCTAAGTCTAGGAAAGCAAAGGAGGGCTACTCTCTGAAACTGCTGCCATTTCATTATTCGGCCAAATAAAAAATTGTAAAGGTTGTTTTTTTTGCTGCAAATTTCTGCAATAAATTTACGCTACAACAATTTACTTCCTGCTTGACATAAACATCGCAGTTAATTGCTAAAACTGTCAATATCAGTATCAGAATTGGAACGAATGATTGGCGCTTTGACACCAAGATTATAATTGTGTCACTAATGTTACTCCATACAAAAGGAGCCACATGTTGAGCCTGCTTGAAACACATGAACACTCCCCAAGAGGAATTATAATATTACAGCTAGCCAAACATCTTCACTCCCGGTGTGACATCCACATTTTGATAGCTAGCATTCGTAAAAAAAAACAAAATGACCTTCCCACATCTTAACATATTGTCATTACGAGCCTTAACATTACTCCAATGTACAAGATGTTTACCGTAAAGCAAGCTAGCAGTCAAAGAAAATCACATTCTCTTGAGCTCCAAAAACACGGAACAAAAAGTGACTATTGTTGTTTCGATAAAGGCAAAATGTGTGGAAATAGGACAGGTTTGCTCGCCTGTAACATGATCACAGATTAAAAGGATTCTTCACAACAAATGCTGAGTCATGTTGTGCGTAAAGACATCAGTATTAGTAGTGCAATACATGTGACACACAGATGATGTTTTGTCACGAATGTTCCTCCATGTAGCTTGTGTGTGTGCACAGATCCGATGATTCCCAGCAAATAAAAGCACATTTTAAAGGATAAAGGACTCACCTGGTGTCTGTGCTGCGCGGTCTCTCCAGATGGTCTCTGCTCTGTCCTCGTTTCTCGGCTGTCTTTCCCTCAGTACTTCCATACATTGTCCTTTTTGTTTGTTTTGAAATGTTCTTTAGTTTTAAAAATCATAAAGAAGGCTACAAATCTTCTCTTTTAGGTCCTCTGAGAGTCTCATTTTAAACACAGAACCTGAGTGGAGGAAAAACAGGTCTCAAAAATATACTTCTCTACGACAACACCAGAATCCAATTCATAAATATCAGGCTTTTTGGGAAGATATGTACACATCTGCTGCATTTCAGCGTAAACATAATGACTAAAATGTAGGGTACGAAAAATAAAATGTGGCTTTTTTATTCTTTTAGTTGCACTGCTGAGCGCTGCCTGCTTTATGTACAAGAGTGTTTGTTAATCCTTGATTATCTGCAGCTCAATCATCCTTAAATGTTATTTAGGTGTTTTTTAAAGGGACACCGTGTTGCATCACATGCTCTGACAGCAGTTTCTTCCTCAGTTTTTTTTTCTCTTCCACTTTACGGATGTGCTTACCAGATGAGGGGATTAAAATGTGCTTTTTATAAATCAACCCCATCGCTTTTAAAACTTTTCGGGATTGCAAATGTGTTGATCCTCCATGTGCAAAGACTTAAGAGCCCGTTAATGGGTGGGTTTGGAGAGGGGGGGGGGGGGGTTATTACTCTAAACAACTATTAATATATACTTTTTTTTAAGTCTGCACTACAGGTCCGTCTCCTTTGTGTTCAGGCAGAAAGCGTAAAGGGATCTCTTGAAGTTCATGCTGCTGTTCGCCTTGATGTTCGCCTTCTCCCCAGGTGAAGTCGCCGCGTCGTTCTCCGCATCCTGCTGCGACTTCGTGGAGGATTTACTCCCTTTTCGCTTCACTTCCGGACTTTCCCTCCCGCTGTTGGAATCATCTTTCAGGGAGGACTGGTCCTGGTCCGACTCCCGGTGGTAGAAGTAGTTGAAGTTGGACACGATGACAGGAACAGGCAGAGCGATGGTTAAAACTCCGGCGATGGCGCACAGCGAACCCACGATCTTCCCCCCCACTGTCACCGGCCGCATGTCTCCGTAACCCACCGTAGTCATGGTAACAACGGCCCACCAGAACGCGTCCGGGATGCTGGAGAAGTGCGACTCCGGTTCGTCCGCCTCGGCGAAGAACACGGCGCTGGAGAAGAGGATGACTCCGATGAAGAGGAAGAAGATGAGCAAGCCCAGCTCCCGCATGCTCGCTTTGAGAGTTTGCCCCAAAATCTGCAAACCCTTGGAGTGTCTGGAGAGCTTGAAGATGCGGAAGACGCGCACCAGGCGGATGACGCGCAGGATGGCCAGCGACATGCCCTGCCCGTTCTGGTGCTCCTGGCCCTGGGGCTCCGGGCTCTGCTGCTCCGCCAGCTCCGTGCACACCGTGATGAAGTACGGCATGATGGACATGATGTCGATGATGTTCATCACCGTCTTGGAGAACTCGGACTTGCTGGGGCACGCGAAGAAGCGCACGAACAGCTCGAAGGTGAACCAGATTACGCACGTGGTCTCTATGATGAAGAAGGGGTCCGTGAAGGTGAGGGACGGCCGGGGCGCGGTGCTGTTGTCCGGCCGGCTGGTGACCGGAAGCTCCCGCTCATCCCGGAACTCTGGTAGTGTCTCCATGCAGAAGGTGATGATGGAGATGGTGATGACGATGACGGACACGATGGCGATGCCTCGCGCCGGCATGGAGCTCTCCGGGTACTCGAAGATGAGCCAGACCTGCTTCTGGAACTCGTTCTGAGGCAGCGGTTTCTCCTCCTCCTTTACGAAGCCCTCGTCCTCCCTGAACTTCTCCATGGCGTCCTCCCCGAGCTGATAAAACCGGATCTCATCCGCGAACACATCGATGGACACGTTCACGGGTCTCCGGATCTTCCCCCCGGACTGATAGAAATACAAAATCCCGTCAAAACTCGGTCTGTTCCGGTCGAAAAAGTACTCGTTCCGCAGCGGGTCGAAGTACTTAATCCTCTTAGCTGGGTCTCCAAGCAGGGTGTCCGGGAACTGGTTCAAGGTGCACAGCTGGGTCTCGTACTTGAGCCCCGCGATGTTGATGAGCACCCTCTCGTTGCTCTCCGTGTCCAAATCCGGGTCCATCAGGCCCTCTTCGAACAGATGGGGACTGTGGTCCGCGCGTAAAAGCGCATCCATGGTGTTCTCGCTGCAGCTGAAGGTGTTGTTCATGTCGTTGATCTTCCAGGAGCTGTGCTGATGATGAACGAGGTGAGGATGAGGAGGAGGAAGAGGGTGGTTCTGCTGCTTTGTGTTCAGCTCTTTCCCGTAGTCCTCTCCGAGTCCAGTCTGCACGAACTGAGGGACATCCAGCGCGTTCCGGCAGCTCTCCTCGGCATTGTGTCCGCCGCCTCCTCCGCTCCCTTTCGCCCCGCCGTTCTCAAAGCTCACCAAAGCGATCTCCATTCCGCAGCCATCCACCGTTAACGCGCGTAAAACCTCGGAGACTTGTTGAGCCGCGGCGGCGCGAACATCTTCGTCGAGCTCAGCGAAGTTAAAAAATCGACAGGGAAAAGAGGAAAGTAAAAAAATAACCCTGAAGGATGGAGCTGCTGTTTACATGTATGACCTGCTGGACGGAGTAAATACTAAAGAGCAGAGCAGAAGGACCCGGATGAGGATGGAATGATTCTTCTGACGTCAAAAGTGCTGTTCAGACCGTTTAGCTGCCTCTGATAATGTCTGTGGATGTGAGACAAGCTGTCATCCTAACTCCCCGCCCCCCCCTCTCTCTCTCTCTCTCTCTCTCTCTGGGGGCGGGGACGCGCATGTTCATTTTCCCTTGTTTATTATGGCAACAAAGTGCGCGCACTGGCAGCACTTGCTTCTGGTTTTGGGTCATTCTATTCAAACAGATGACCCAAAAGTGACAGATTATGTGGTAAATATAAAAACAAACACATTCACTTTCACAATGTTGTTCTATTTTGCACTAAATACAAGATAATTGAAGTCATGTACGTTATTTATTCTGTACTATGAAATCAGCAGGACAAATAACCCTTTACTTCAATCCAATCAAAGCAATACATATAGTCTAAAGTTCATAAACTGAACTATTTCACATAATGTCTTCTGATTGATTTTGGTGTGTAATCTGTATTCTGTACTTATTGTTGTCTTAAAATGTTGTCTTATTTGACCATGTCCATGACCTTTACTGTGTTGATGCTTGGATACACCAAAGCAAATTCCTTGTGTCAAAATCGACTTTGCTTTCCTTTGAAATCTCATTGGATGGTGCATGAGTTATTGACATGTCATGAAGCACAACACGGCTAACCAGCAGCAAATAAAGGGTTAACGTTTCACTAATAATACATACATGTTTTTAAGTGTACAAATACTTTTTCTAAAATGATGTTTTTCACCACAGTCTCAGTACAGTTCACATCTTAGCCATCGTGTTAGAGACCACGGCTCAGAAAACACACAACTGAAGCAGAAAGATAAGTCAGAAGAACAACAATAAAAACAAAGAAATATATCTTAAAAAACACTGGAAAAATAAACAAAAACAAACTATAAATATACACAAATGATATGATTATAAACAGTTGAATAAATGTGATTCAAATAGATTTTAAATGGCTCCAATCTCTCGAAAGAAGCTTACATAACTATCTTAACTAAAGGCAGATAGTTTTATATGTTAAAGTCAATATCCTGTGTCCTCTCTCTTATATAACCCTCAGTGAGAAACGTCCTTAATGCACAAGAGTCCGTCTCCCTCAAAGCTCTGCTTCCACATGAAGACTCCCTTTGACTCCCATTGACTCCCATTGACTCCCATGGACCCTCCTCTCCTCTCCTCTTTGTCTCCTCTCCTCGGCCCGGGGCCAAACTCATCCGGATGTTTCCTCGCTGCCTTTAGAGGAGATGGACCGGTCCTTTCTTTACATGTATATAAAACACACACATGTACAGAATACACATACACACACACACACACACACACACACACACACACGTACACACACATACGTACACACACACACACGTACACACACACACACACACACACACACAGTTATGTTTCTCTGAGATGTAAAGACTCCCTGTCCTCTGGTCCTTACTGAGACATTCACCCTCTGAAAACATGGATTATATTGAGTTCTTAGTCGACTCACGATTCAATACAATTTCTCAAACATGGCACAAGAGAGACTTAAGACACGAGGGATGTGAAGGATGAGTGACGTAAAAAGGTGGTAAAATGCAAGTGGCGTAAGAAGCAAATTACGAAAATGACGACTTACATGAGTGACTTAAAACGTGAGTGACTTAAAACGTGAGTGACTTAGGACAAAAGTGACTTAGGACAAAAGTGACTTAGGACAAAAGTGACTTAATACGCAAATGAATTGAGATGCGATTGATGTCATATGAGATTGACTTAAGGTGCAAGTAACTTCAAAACGACAGTGATTTAAGTCCCGAATGAAGAAAGCTGCTGTTAACGCGACTGGCTTCAGAAGGCGGTGAGTGACGTACGACAGTGACTTACGACAGTGACTTACGACAGTGACTTACGACAGTGACGTACGACAGTGACGTACGACAGTGACGTACGACAGTGACGTAAGAAGCAAATAACGAAAGTGGCTTAAGGCAAAAGGGAGGTAAAGCCAAAGTGTAACATTTTAAGAAAGTCACATAAGACGAAAATGACTTGAGATGTGATTTATGTCAGATGAGAGTTGTGTCGTACGTGATTGACTTAAGGCGCAAGTAACTTAAAACGGCAGTGACTTAAGTCCTGAAAGATGCTGCAAATGAGTGACGTAGGATGCAGGTGAGCGACGTAGGATGCAGGTGAGCGACGTAGGATGCAGGTGAGCGATGTAGGATGCAGGTGAGTGACGTAGGACAGTGACATAAGTAGCAAATATGCAAGAGGTGTAAAACAAGTGAAGTAAGACGCAATTGACTTTAGACCTTAGTGACATAAGACGTGTAGGACGTAGAGCAGGGGCAGACTGGCCATTGAATAAGGGAGTTATCCGGGCCGGACTGTCGGTCGAGTTTCCCGGGCTGATTATTAGTCCCAGTCCGCCCCTGACGTAGGGTGCGAGGGACTTAAAGGGCCCATGTCATGCTTTTCCGGTTATTACCCGTCCCCTTGTGTGTTATGAAGGTTTGTATGCATGTAAACGGTGTGCAGAGTGACAAACCCTGTAGCGAGTAAAACTCTAACACAGAAAAGACCTGCCCAAAACGCCTCGTTGGAGATACATCATTGCCCATTTGATTCTTCCATTTCGTTCCGGGTACGGCATGACATCATGGACCAATCCGTGGAGCCGTTACGTTACGTCCGCGGAGCCTTTACGTTAAGCCCCCGCTGATTGGTCCAAATTGACCAATCCACGGACTTCCTCACACACACATCTGTGTGCAGGGAGCAGGCAGCTCAGCTGATTTCTCCTCCCTGGCTGCAGGCTGATAACAGACCGTTGGGATCGCGGCCAAATTCTCTCTGCAGACCCATTCTCTCTGCAGACCCATTCTCTCTGCAGACCCATTCTCTCTGCTGACCCATTCTCTCTGCTGACCCATTCTCTCTGCAGACCCATTCTCTCTGCAGACCCATTCTCTCTGCTGACCCATTCTCTCTGCAGACCCATTCTCTCTGCAGACCCATTCTCTCTGCAGACCCATTCTCTCTGCAGACCCATTCTCTCTGCAGACCCATTCTCACTGCAGACCCATTCTCTCTGCAGACCCATTCTCTCTGCAGACCCATTCTCTCTGCAGACCCATTCTCTCTGCAGACCCATTCTCTCTGCAGACCCATTCTCACTGCAGACCCATTCTCACAGCGTTTATCAACCTTTTTCTTACTCAATATCAAGCCACACTTATTGTTTTTACTTCGGCTGTGACTTTGTGTGTGCTCAGGATGAGTTTGGCTGTGTTTGGCTGTGTATCCTAAACAAGGAAACAACACCTCCACGGAGCTCAGCGCGATTCACAACGTCCCGACCAATCAGAGCACACTGTGCTCACAGGGAGGGTGGGGGCTGGAGCTATTGGAGCTACAACGAGCCGTTAAAGGCAGAGAGTGAAATTCAGTGAATACACGTAGTTTACAGAGATGCTGTTTGAGAAACCAATGTGAGTTTGGAGAGATGCTGTATGAGAAACCAATGTGAGTTTGGAGAGATGCTGTATGAGAAACCAATGTGAGTTTGGAGAGATGCTGTATGAGAAACCAATGTGAGTTTGGAGAGATGCTGTATGAGAAACCAATGTGAGTTTGGAGAGATGCTGTATGAGAAACCAATGTGAGTTTGGAGAGATGCTGTATGAGAAACCAATGTGAGTTTGGAGAGATGCTGTTATGAGAAACCAATGTGAGTTTGGAGAGATGCTGTATGAGAAACCAATGTGAGTTTGGAGAGATGCTGTATGAGAAACCAATGTGAGTTTGGAGAGATGCTGTTTGAGAAACCAATGTGAGTTTGGAGAGATGCTGTTTGAGAAACCAATGTGAGTTTGGAGAGATGCTGTATGAGAAACCAATGTGAGTTTGGAGAGATGCTGTATGAGAAACCAATGTGAGTTTGGAGAGATGCTGTATGAGAAACCAATGTGAGTTTGGAGAGATGCTGTATGAGAAACCAATGTGAGTTTGGAGAGATGCTGTATGAGAAACCAATGTGAGTTTGGAGAGATGCTGTTGAGAAACCAATGTGAGTTTGGAGAGATGCTGTTTGAGAAACCAATGTGAGTTTGGAGAGATGCTGTATGAGAAACCAATGTGAGTTTACAGAGATGCTGTATGAGAAACCAATGTGAGTTTGGAGAGATGCTGTATGAGAAACCAATGTGAGTTTGGAGAGATGCTGTATGAGAAACCAATGTGAGTTTGGAGAGATGCTGTATGAGAAACCAATGTGAGTTTGGAGAGATGCTGTATGAGAAACCAATGTGAGTTTGGAGAAATGCTGTTTGAGAAACCAATGTGAGTTTGGAGACATGCACAATATAAATCTATTCTAGTAGACCTCAACAATGGAATTATGATCAGAGGAAATGGCCATGACATGGGACCTTTAAGGTCAAAGTGTACATTTGATACATGTTTACTTAGGTTAGTGATGAAGTTTGCAAAAACAAATTATAAAAATGTCCTTTAAATAAAATTAAAGTCAATGAAGACCCAAGGTGACCCAACGAGTTACTAAATATATGTATATTTTCTAAAAAATAGGGTTTATTATTATGTATTTTTCCAATATTTATTTAAATGTTACTTCCCATTTTTTTTTTCAGATACAGTTGCACGGACCCTTTAACTGAGAAGCATGAATGCAATCTCTCCGAACATCCAAAACTCAAACTGGCTCGTACAAGGGACCAAACACACACACACACACCCTCATTCACACACACCCTCACACACACCCTCACTCACACACACCCTCACACACACCCTCACACACACCCTCCCTCACACACACCCAGCCTGAGTGCGTTGGTTTCTAAAAGCAGAGTAGGTGACCTATTTAAAAGGTTAGTTTCTTAGCCCTGTGGCTGGATTAGGAAAACAAAGCACGGGCTCTATATTTATCTTCTCCTTATCTAATGCTGCTCATCATGATAAGGACTGTGTGCATCGCCTAGATTAGCGCTCTGTCCT